ACACTCTACCTACATATGTATTCTGCTTCATTTTTCTTCTTTATTCATTGTCCAGCTTTCGCATGTATATGAGGTGATTGAAAATGTCATGGTTACCTTAGTACTTAAAGTGGTATCTTTGGTTTTTAACACTTTAAAGATATCTTTTGCTGCAGATTTGCCCAATGCAATGCGTCATTTGATTTCTTGACTGCTGCTTCCATGGTTGTTGATTGTGGATCCAAGTAAAATGAAGTCCTTGACTTGAATATTTCAACATTTATCCTGACGTTGCTTATTAGTCCAGTTGTGAGGATTTTGTTTTCTTTATGTTAAGGTGTAATCCATACTGAAGTCTTTGATCTTCATTAATAAGTGCTTCAAGTCCTCTTCACTTTTAGCAAGCAACGTTGTGTCATCTGCATATCACAGGTTGTTAATGAGTCTTCCTCCAATCCTGATGCTCCATTCTTCTTCATATAGTCCAGCTTCTCAGATTATTTGCTCAGCATACAGATTGAACAAGTATGGTGAAAGGATACAACCCTGACGCACACCTTTCCTGATTTTAAACCATGCAGTATCCCCTTGTTCTGTATGAACGACTGCTGCTTGGTCTATGTAGAGGTTCCACATGAGCACAATTAAGTGTTCTGGAATTCCCATTCTCCACAATGTTATCCATAATTTGTTATGATCCACACAGTCAAATAATGCCTTCTCATAGTCAATAAAACACTGGTAAATATCTTTCTGGTATTCTCTGCTTTCAGCCATGATCCATCTAACATCAGCAGTGATATCCCTGGTTCCACATCCTCTTCTGAATTTAGCTTGAATATCTAGCAGCTCCCTGTTGATGTACTGCTGCAGCCGCTTTTGAATGATCTTTAGCAAAATTTTGCTTGTGTGTGATACTAAGTTTGGCTACTCAGATCTAAAAATGGCCATACCCTTTAACCAAGAAGTTCTACCTCTAGGATGTAGCCTAAATACAAAGACTTACTGTCAAAGATGAAAGATGTTCAAGGCACTTTCACTTGCAACAGAGGAAAAATGGGAAATAATTTAATGTTCAAGCAGTAGAATAATGGTTGAGTAATTACAGTATACCCTTAAGACAGAATATTATGTAGCCATTACAAATGTTTTATAAAGAGTTTTAAATCACACGTGTAAGAGATTATGATAAATTATTAGGTGAAAAAAGTAAAATCACAGTTGAACACACAGTATAATGCCAACAAAAGAAATACACCAACATTTAAATAATGCCTGCCTTTGGGTTGTGGTGTTACTTAGGTATTTTTTCTGGACATTCCAAATTTTCTATGGATTATCATGTCATAATTTGATATACAGAGGAAATAAAGTAAAAATAAAAGGTTATTTTGTGACTTACTGACAATTTAACCTTTTATTCTGTTGTATGTAAGTAAAATTTGTTAATCTCATTCAAAAAAATTGTTCAGTTAGATGATGCTGGGAAGGGTAGTAAAAATAGTTCTTATAAATACTTTTCTTGTCAATTCTTGCAAGAAAAAAATGTTCCGCAAGTGAAATCATATCATTTAATTCACTTTGAAAGTTTCATGCCAAAAAATGCATAGATGAGGGTGTCAATTTCTAATGAATTAGAGAAAATGGACAGTAGTTTTAAAATACTCCACATTTTTTTCTTCTGTTTTGGGATTTTTTTTTTTTCTCTTCTCATTTTAAGACAGTAAGTTAAATGAGGTTTCATGAGGGAAAGTGAGTTGAAACGAGAAAACAGAGCCTTGAACTTCCTTTTGATCCCATGTGTATCTCCAGGTCGCAGAGCTCCATTTCTTGGCAGAGGAAGCCCTGCGCTCTCTTCAGTCCTCTCGCCAAGCCAAGGAAAGAGACTGGACGGTGCTGAGAGCGCCAGGCCGACCAGGGAGGCCAACGAGGGAAGCGTCTTGCCCTCTTCAGGAAGTACGCTTATTCTCCCACTAGATGGGACATGTTAAAGCCAAAACTGCTCTTACATATTACCAGGTAGTTCTCAAAGCATACACTCTTTACCTGAAATGCATTGTTCAAACACCATGTAACTGGATGCTGAAGAGTAAAACAGATATTATAGCCGCTCTGGGTGGGAGGGTCCTACAGCCCCACCTCCTGGGAACTTCCTCATCTTTGCTTTCCCTGGGAGTGTTGGGATGAGGGTTGTGGGGGATATGGAAGCTCCTTACTGATCTGGTCCAATCTTCTTCTTATACAGATTGGGGGAAATGAACCAGACAGAGGCAATGATATGCTCAATGTCACACATGTTGCCTGATTAAAATATTTCAGCTGACTAACCTATAAAACAATCATAGTTTTCTAATGAAAAATGTTGGGAAAATATAAAAGAAAGTAATAATAGAATAAAATGACTAAGGGTAGTGAAACCCCAAATTTGAGATTAAAATGTTATCAACCAAACCTATTTCTTTGTGTACCAAAGGAAACTTTGCAACAGAGGTATGGCTTAGGAAACAGGATTTTCTTTTATTTTATTGTACTTTAATTTGGATTTTGTTTTCTTTTTAACTTGGAAAAGTTTTGAAAACACAGAAAAGTATAAAGAATAATAAAAAAAAAAAATACCTGCCACAGGCATGTTAACTTTTGTCTGCTTCAGAAATATAAATACATATATACATATATATATACATACAGTTGTTATTGATGTTTTTAAGTAGAAGAAATAATATATTAGGTACAACTGAGATCCTCTCTGTATTTCTTTTCAGCCCCATTCCTCTCATGAATTTACTCTGTGAATATATTTGTCCAATTTTATTTATAGTCCAATAAATATATTTGCTTGTTCATCCATAAAATAGCTTTTTTATTATCCAAATATTAATTAAAATTAAGTGGATTTTAACATAGTTGCTAACATGCTTGCTTTGTGATAATAAAAAGATTTATTTGATGAAGACAGGCAAGTTAGCAACTTCAAACCTTTGAACTAGATTTCTAAAGACAAAGGCCTCGGTTTTTTGAGATAACTATTACAAACTCTACTAGGATTTATTATTTTATTCTTTGGATCCTTATGCAGAGCCGGACTGACTCAAAGTTAACATTTAACTTCTCAAGTTTTGTTTTTTTGGTGAATGATCTAGAAGATAGAAAAGGCTGTTAAGGTCAGATCCAACAAAGGCAGACATGACGGCAGAGGTGGCAACTGATGTCCTGACATTGAATGAATCAAACAAAAAAGACGCAGGAATTGCATAACTGCATACATGATAATAGCTAGAGAAAACGTCAAATTGCATTAGGAAGAGACGTAACATATTTTAGAGGTGTAATGTATTAACAGAGATGTAATATGTTTTAGGACGTTTCCATCAAAAATAATTGAGATTTTTTAAAATGTCCAGTGTTTGGGGGCTCTAGTAGCCACATAGCTCAATTTTGTACTGTGGCTCTGTCATTCAGTAGTCGGATGACCTTGATCTCTCTGCATCCAGTTCCTCCCAGTAAAATGGTGATAATAACGGTCCCTATCACATAGAGGTGTTGTGAAAAGGAAGTGAGATCATTCACTTAAAGCATTGGAAACAGTGCCTGGCACAGACTAAGCACTCAGTACATGTTAGCTATTAGTAGTAGTAACAATAGTAGTAGTAGCAGTGGGAAGAGTGGTACTGGAAAACTAGCCTGTGTGGCAGAGTTCGTGACCTGGATCAGGAGAAGGTACAAGCTCTGGAGTTACCTGTGCCCCTTTACTAGTTGTGTGGCCCTGTGGGCAATGACAGTACAGAGGTTCCTGGGGTCAGTGGTATAGAAGGTGCTTAGTGCCTTGCACACAGGACATGCTTAACCAACATTAGCTGTTATAACTATTCCAGGTCAGTAATGCCTTACCATTCTTAAAGCACATCCTATTTTTAAAGTGCAGAGGCAAGCTCATGATTCTCTCACAGTAAGCAAGTCAAGGGAAGCCAGAGGAAGGATCTAATCATATTGATTAGTTTATTTAGGAGCACTCTGTCTGGGTTCAGAAGGACAGTATGCAACCATTGCTGTAAACACAGCCCTAGCAGCCATGGCTCTGCAGGAGTATAAGGGGGCCTAAAAGGGGGGCTCTTTTTCCTTGAAAAGGGGTGGCAAAGCTCCCCTGAAATTCTTACCGATAAGAAGATCACTGAGAAAGAGAGGCCTAGAAGATGCTCTTAAGAATGGACCAATGAATTATGATAACAAGTGCTTTATAGTTCTCAAAGCACGTTCACACACATTAACTAATCTAATCCTCGCAGCAGCTCTATGAGAAGCGAGGCATTATCCCCACTTGTCTGAAGAGAAAACTGAGGTACAGAGAATTAAGTGGCTACTCAAAGTTACTCTACTAGTAAGAGGAGAATCCTTGGCATTCCTGCTTTCTGTTGTGGGGGTCGGGGGAGCTTTTGTAATGCATACATAGCCCTGTGGAATGTTCCTTGCTGGTATGTAGTTAGCATATTGTAGGGATCACATAATTTTTCCAGTTTTTTTGCTAGCTTATTTGTTGTGGTCAGCTTAACTCTAAATCCCATACCTATACCTACTACAGCACACATGCAATGTGTGTGTGGGTGTATACACACGTGCACACACGTATGCACACATGTAAGTGCATGCTGGAAACAAGTGAATTTATTTTTCACATTTTATTTCTTTTTAAATATACTTTCAAAAGATGAAAATCTTAGACTGAAGTTGACGACTGATGTGATTCAGCCAAATTTTGAGGGCATTAAATCACTTTTTTGGACTGAAGCCTGAGAAGTAATTCAGTTGCAACAGAGGGCAAAAAAAAAAAAAAGCTTTTTCACTTTAAATGAACCATTTTTTTTTTTCTGAAAACATGATGTAATTTCTTTTCTAAAGGAAGAGCAAAAGAACTTTTGTTGCAACCTCCAGCTGTCAACTTGCCTCCCATACTTCTGCCCTCCAGCAAAAGGAAGGGACATCAGGTGACAGACCCCAAATTTAAACTAGTCACACAAATTACAGACCTTCTTATCATGATGTCCTCTTGACCTTCTGCCTTTCCCCTACAAAGAAGAATGAGACACAGTTGAAATCAAAACGCCTCTCTCATGGGCAATCTTACAAAGCAAATAGAAGGCGCAGTCGTCTCCCTCCCCTCCCCCTGCTTCCCCCGCTGGGCCGGCCTGTTCCCTCTTTCTATGCAGGCAGGAGCTAATAATTAGAAAGACCTTTCCCACCCCCAGACAACGATGCTCTGCTTGCCAAGAGTGCTGTTTGCTCAGAAGAAAGGGTTTGACAAAATATTTACAAAAACGAACATAAGCGATGCCAAGTCCCACTTTTAGGGAATACTTGGAGTAGTATTTACAAGAAAAGGCTTCTCCAAGGGGCACCACGCTGCCTGAGAGAGGCTGATCCAAGCTCTGTACTGGCCTTATCACATGACGCAGCATATGACCATCTTTCTCTTGGCTTTTTAACTTCCGTGCCTAGTACACTTTTCACCAAGCATATGAATAATTACATTTCCTATTGACCAGTCAATTCAGAAATGTAGCAGTCTGGGACCACAGGACATAGTCTTTAAACATTACCGCTTCTAGCAGTAGGGGAAAGCTTTGTGAACTCAAAAGAGAGGAAATTAAAGGGAGGGTTAATTAGTACTCAGAACATGGGCCATTATTCATACTTACTGGCTAAAACTTAGTCATAATATCTGTATTACCTGTAGATCTGTGATCTACAAAACTGCAGGGCTGTGAACTCGAACACGGTGAGAATCAAAACAGGTGCCTCCGCCTGTTCCCATTATGCTCATTAGCCCACGGCCTTCTCCCAGCCTGTTAAACAGCTGAATTTGAAACAATAACAATAACGGTGCAGGCCAAACACTCGCCTGAAGGGCTATCTGTCTTGGGATTTGGCCGTTTACATTGATTTTTTTTTTTTTTTACTCACATTTTTCATGAAACACAAATATTTGCCATGGCAACTGGGGTGTCACATGACATGCTGCTACAAAAACAGCCTGGAAATCTCTTACAGGGAAACAGCCCACCAGGGCTGAAAATACAGTGAAAACATCTTGAGGAAGACTTGGCATTAAAAGATCCAGGTCGTGTAAGAACAGGTAACAGTCTATTTTGTAAACATAGTAGGATTAACTTTTTCTGTGCTACTCTTTAATTTTCATTGCTTTCTTTCTTTTTTTTTTTTTTTTATTTAATGGGAGCAGCTGTCAACAGGATGACCACATAGGGGAACCCCAGAAAAAAGACACTGCCGGCTGTCTTCTTTCTGTGGTGAAAAGTTTCAGTTATCACAAGTCTCTCTGTGGCCTAGAAACAGAAGAAAGCAAGACCAAGCTACAAAAGTCCCGCATCTTTAAATGGGAAGAATCTCCATAAGGATGAATCACATTGTGCTGTGAGGTCCTAATGTTAGCTAACACAGAATATCTTCCTCTTTCTCATGAAGACAATCTGCTCAAAACTGGAGATTTGCCTTCTTATCCTACACTTAAAGACAAATGAAATAGAGTAAAACTTCACACTATCGTATCCTATACAAAACAAATTTGGATATACGGTAACAGCTTTATCCTGGACTCCTGACTAGCTAGCCAGTAGTATAGGTTGACCCAGTCATTTAGGTAATTTCACAATAATGCAACATAATTGAATATTTTTTTAGACCCCACTGACGTGTCATGGTGTTTACTTTTGCGACAATCCCCCCCCTTTAAAAATCAAATGCATCCCAGCAACAGCTGAAATAGAAGTTATTTCTATATGAAAAGTACAACTCTATAGGATGTGTGTATTAGCAAAACACTCACCGACAATATTGTACATAAGAACAAATTTCTTTTTTTAGTTAGAAATATAAATACCTTTTGTTTTTGTTTCTTGGGATGGCGCATCTTCACTTCTGTTGAGGTCGGCAGTTTCTGGAGTATACTGGAAGGGGCTGTGGATGGAGGGAGTGCAAAGTTATCTCCTCCAGAAAGAGAGGCTGAGTCACTGGGTGATGCTATTGGGTTTGTACCTTGAAAGTCAAATGGTTCTGTCAACCACTGACCACTCACTTTTCTGTATCAGTTCAATGAAGCATCTGCGATCATCAACTTCTAAAGGAAAGCATTACTGGGCAAAAAGCATGAGAGGGCAACATTTCCATGCGAATATAAGGTCATCTTGCCTTATGCAAACTGCCTAGATGAAAAGGTACATTTTAAAAGCAGGCAGATTAGAGATTAATATTTGTCTCATGTTTCACTATAAGATCTCTTTAAATAACCAGATTCTCAAGATCGTTTAAAAAGTAATTAATATAGCCACATATGATGGGCTGTTATGTAGAATGAAAAAGAGCAACAGCCTCAACAAGATGGACTGACGCAGTGGCTGCAGCAATGGGCTTAAACCTAACGACGACTGTGAGGAGGGCGCAGGGCCAGGCAGTGTTTCATTCTGTTGTACACAGGGTCACTGAGTCGGAACCAACTCGACAGCACCTAATAACAACGACGACAACAGTCATTAAAAAACATGATTCTAAATAATTTAAATGACTTGGGGAAACGATACACATGAAAAACACTGTAAAGATTATTTTTGAAATTAAATCTAGAAACAACTTTTGGAGAACACAGCTAGTTCTTAGAGGTGCAGAAGTGCTGCTAGACACCACTTGGGAGAAAAGTCCCATCTCTCCTGTTGCCTGGTCGCAAACCCGATCTTACAACAGTCCAAGTCTGAGATTCTCACGGGAGAAAAATCCTTACAATACTCTTTCCAAGAAAGAGAACAAATAATCATTTAAATAGTTAATCGACTAAAAGAAGCGAGGCTTCTTTCAATGCAATTCTTTAGCTTACTTCTTTTCTGTTAGTTCTATAATAACAATCTTAGAAAGAATTGACAGACATTGATCACATACAGAACACTAGTAAAGGATATCAATATATAATTTGGAGTCTTACCTGGAGGTCCAGTACCTCCCAGGTTGCCTCAAATGTACTGTAAGGAATATCTTCAGCCACTTCTTAAGAAGGAGAATTCTACAGTCTTATCACAGAAACTCACCTCCACAAAAAGGACTTGTTTGTTGTATCTGACCAATCCACTATTTACCACCTTGCTGGTTTCACTGGCTTCCAGCAAGCCTCCCTGACTGTGAAGCTGCCTGCAATTTACAGCCCTGGTGGCGCAGTGGTTAGGTGCTCAGCTGCTAGCCAAAAGGTCAGCAATTTGAACCCACCGGCTGCTCAACAGAAGAAAGATGTGGCAGTCTGCTTCCGTAAAGATTACAGCCTTGGAAACCCTATGGGGCAGTTCTACTCTGTCCTATAGGGTACCTATGAGTTGGAATCGACTCGAAACCCACGGGTTTGGTTTTGTTGGTTTTTACCATCCCCAAGCCTGGTCAGTTTTCCACAATGAATGAAGACCCACTTCTGAGCCTACAAGTTTTTGCCTTGACCACTTTGAATTTTGCTCTCCCTCTCCTGAAGGCCAGTCTACACCTTGCACCTAAACTGCTCTGAATCCCCAGAGTCATCAGTAAAACCTTTTATTCCTATTGTTTGCAGACTCAATACACTTTTTGTTTAACTCCAAGTTTCTGCAGAGAAGTGAGATATAGGGATAAATTTCCATGTTGAAACAAAATAGCAGCTAACAAGCTTTCAAGTGGGCAAATTTTTAAAGGATTTTAGTAAAATTTTAAGAAAATTTGGTAGGATAAAGATTGCAAAGATTTGTAATTTCACATGGATAATCAACAGTTAATGGTATCTCTGAAAATTTTTTTAAGTTAATAAATTAAGATAACTGGATGATATTTTCTTAGTTATCTGCAGAAAGGCTATCACTAAATTGTAACTTCATGTGACCTTGGATATAATGGGACACATGCATTTGAAGAATGTGTCTGCATCTCTTACAAAACTGTGTTTGAAGGCATTGTCTATTTTGCTACCCGATTTCTCTTCTGGAAAAATCTGCATGATAAATGTTGCCAGACTAATGTCAGGGGGAAAAAAGTCTTGTTTTTTCTGGACAAACTTGTATGCTTCTGTAGTAGTTATTGATTCTTGCCTGCCAAGCAGTCATCCCCCTTCTCTTCCTCGCTAATTGTTGTGTGCTGTTGAGTCGATTCTGACTCACAGGGACCCTACAGGACAGAGTCAAACTGCCCCATAGGGTTTCCTTAAGCTGTAAAGATTTACGGCCTTGGAAACTCTATGGGGCAGTTTGACTCTGTCCTACAGGGTCGGTATGAGTTGGAATCGACTTGATGGCAATGGGTTTGATTTTGGTTTAATCTTTACGGGGAGCAGATAGTCAAGTCTTTTGTCCCACGGAGTGGCTGGTGGGTTTGAACCACTGTCCTTTCTGTTAGCTGCAGAACACTTAACCATTGAGCTACCAGGGCTCCTTTCTTGTTAATAGGATTCCAGTTTTCTCAGGGTGACAATATGCCACATTTAGCAAAAAAATTTTTTAAAATAAAGCATACAGTTAAATTTGAATTTCAGATAAACAATGAACAATTTTTAATATGTCTCAAATATTAAATATGTTTAATGTCCAACAAAGAACAGAATTTTAAATAATGGATTAGATTAAGCATAACTCATCATATTAACTATTTAGTATAAATATGTCCCTAATCCTAGTCCTGGAGCCTTGATGGTTCAGTGGTTAAGAGCTGAGGCTGCTAACCAAAAGGTCAGCAGTTTGAATCCACCAGCTGCTCCCTGGAAACTCTATGGGGTAGTTCTGCTCTGTTGTATAGGGTTGCTATGAGTTGGAATCAACTCGACAGAATTTATCTCTGGACATTCACTTTGCCAGCCTTCCTTATGGAAGTGTCCATGTGACCAGTGAGATGTAAGGGGAACTTCATTCAGGGGCTTCTGAGAAGAGATTGGCACCCCATTTTTTTTTTTTTCCATTTTTCACTGTTAAAAATGTTGCAGTGGTGGTCCTGGCAACATGCACAAAAGTGAAAGGAACACTCCCAGGTCCAGATATGAAGTAGAAATTGAACACTTAAGCAGATGCTGTGATCACCTTACAGATATTGTCAGTCTCTGTTAACCTAGGGACTTGAGTTTTAATGCCCACTCATGGACAGGAGCTAAGGCCTTAGGATCCCTAAAAAAAGCTGGGACTTTCAGTAGGATGCACTCTCAGTAAAAGGGTGGCTTGGGAAAAATTTCACCCCCTGCTCAGGAAGATAACAAGGAAGCTTGCCACTTTCTGCCAGACTTCATCTCTATTTTGGGAGAAAAAAAAAAAATCTCTTTAAGAATTCAAAACTCTAATTTGTCTCCTGCAGCTTGTCGTTAACATTTATATTACTCATAAGTGTCAGAAATGCCAAGCTCAGAAACTGGCATGAAAATTTGTCCTAAGCCAGGGTGATATCCCTGGGACTCTAAACAGAAGCTAATGCAAAACTACACTGGAAGGTCACTCACGTCACAATCTAGGCCACAGGGATTCTCAGGAACACCAGATCAAAACAAACAAAAAACAACCCACTGAAGAAGTATCAACAATTAAAAAATCTTGAAATATTTAGTGACATAACCTACCTTGAGCAAGTCAGCAGAGACCAGCCCAAACAATAGAAACATACCCCAGAAGTTGAAATAAAAGAGCAATCTGAAAGTGATTATGAAACCAACATGCTTACAATGATTTAAAGTGGAAAAAAGAGACAATATTTTAGAACAGTACATGCAGATTTGATGAAGAACCAAATAGAACTTCCAGAAATGAAAAATATGGTTATCAAAATTTAAGACTTCATGGGAAATCAGTGAAACAGAAAATAAATCTGAGGAAATTACTCAGAATGCAACACAGAGAGATAAAGAAATGGTAAACCTGAAGGAGAGGATAGAACGAGAAGCTCTGCCTAATTTCTGATAGAAGTTCTAGTAGAAAAGAATAGAAAGAAGAGAGTAGAGACACTATTCAAAGAGATAATGGAGAATTTTACACAATGACCAAAAGACTTGAAGCCTCAGATTCAAGAACCATGGTGAGAATCCTGAGCTGAATAAATAGAAATAAATAAATCCATACCTGGCACTTCACAGGGAAACCTCGGTGGGGGGAGCAGGGGGGAGTAGAAGAGGGAGAGAGGAGAGGAGAGAGAGAGAGAGGGAGGGGGAGAGACAGATGGAGAGAGAGAGGAAGAGAAATAGAGAGAGAAAATATGCATGAATTTTAAAAGCTTCCAGAGAGAAAATACAGATAAGTGACAAAGGAACAATTAAACCACAATTGACTTCTCTCAGCAGCAACAATAGAAGCTAGAACATAATATTTTAAAATAATTCTCTCTGTAGGTAAAGGCAAAATACAAGACTGGGGGAATTAAGATATTTTCAGAAAATCAAATGATAACATTTACTATTTACAGACTCTTGATGACAGAACTAAATTATTCTCCTCCATTATTTCTTTGAATAGTATCTCTATTCTCTTCTGTTTATTCTTTTCTACTGGAACTACTATCAGGAATTAGGCAGAGCTTCTCATTCCATCCTCTTCTTCATACTGACCATTTCTTTATCTCTTTCTGTTACATTTTCAGCAAAAAGAAAATAAGTAGAATACAAGAAGAGATGGTGAGGAAAGAAACTGAAAAATCTGAAGCCTAAGTCTAAATGAAACTAAATATATAAAAAACATAATACCTAGCTGGAAGTTATAAAAACAAGACAGAGATTAATAACATATAAAACAGAAATAGATTATCAGAATTAAAGGGTTCTAAAATCCTTGTGATTATTCAAAATGGGGTAGAAATATTAATTTTTCCTTTTGTTGAATTTTATACTATGTTAAATACAGAAAAGTATTAACTAAAAATCTGGAAGTAAAATGTATCATTTCCAAACCAGTAAA